TCAGGCCCTCATACATTCAGATATGTCAGGTGTCATGCAGAAACAAGCCTGTGGCAGCCCCCACCACACACTTGCCCAACACAGAACCAGCATCTCAGTCCTGGGGCATCTTGGACCTAGAAGGCAGCTTGGAATGAGATCCTGAAGCAAGAGAGAGGCAATGGCAGGAGAACAGCTGGGGATAACATCACTGGGATGATATTCCTGAACAACAGGCTGACACTTGTAGTTCCATTCTGACCCTGTCTTGTATGGCCAGGTGTACTATTTGGAGGGGATGGAGCTACAGAAGTTCATCTCTTATATCCAAGTCTATCATCTGACATGATATCTGAGCCTTCTACTTCAGATTTCTTGACCAGCCATCATACTTTCTAACATCATGGAACTAAACTGTACAGTGAGGATGCCTAAATCGTGTCTATGTTTCCTTAGCCTCAGATACTCGTGACATAAAATTAGTCAGTGATTATTTTTCAAGGCAGGTTTTCCACTTCATCTTCCAACTGGCTGCACTCCTAAGCCTGTCATACTGTCCAAGAAGTCCAGTACAGGATGACCTTCCAGTGTAGGTTACAGAAAAGGGAGCTTGTAGGAAACTTCAGCAGCTCATCCTTCTTAACGCTGCCTCTTGCTGTAATCTGCTGGCAGCAAAACTGGCCATGCTGCAGAGCTGGGCCCTGCTGCCCTTTGGCTGCAGGCTGATTTTTTTGTATGTACTCACCACCCTGACCTACCTGCCTCTGTGGGAGCTGACAAGAGCATGAATCAGCAATTGGCTTATTAGGTTATTTTTTAATGTAGCTGACACTCATGTGATTTCTGCTAGTCACTCATAGTTGTGTATACTGGTCATATAGATCTGAGTGTGGCTCATTTTTCTCAGGTCCACTCGGTATAATAATATTTCCAGGCTAGTTGCATTTGTGAAGCTTGAGGTGACATGCAAACAGCAGGTCTTCAGATCTGGCACTATGAACCAGGCTTCACACTTCAGGTTTAGGCTGAATCAGATGCCTCTGAACTTTCAGAAAATTCAGTTTTTGGTGCAATAGATCCCTCCCCAGGAGTGAGCAGGCTGACCAAAATGTGTTTGTGGTGCAGAAAGATATCCATCGTGCCAGCACAGAGACTACAAAAATGCAAAACTGTTTCTCTACCCTAGGAAACCACTTGATATTGAAACTGGGGGGGGAGGAAGACAATTCTTCAAAACAGGGAGACAGATTCCTTCCATACAGCTGCTGAACTGACTTTGGATGGGGCAGGTGGAAGTAGAATCTTGTGGTATCTGAATTAGAGAGAGGTCTTCCATCCTAAGGGTTTTCCTGAGATATCTGTCTCCCACAGTGTTCTACTTTATGTAATAATAAGCTCTTTTTTGGCTCTCTGAGACCACATCTCAGAGCTTAAGACACTCAAGGTGTCAGAGGGGAGGTTCAAATCCCTCTCTGAATGCAGCAGAAAAGAGACTTGACCCTGGGTCATTCACATCCCAGGTTGAGGCTTTATTGTTGTATCACTGACCTGCTGCCTCACTCTCACTTTTGGAGATTCCTGGGCTTCAGACAATCTTCTGAAAATGAGTTTCATACATGATCTCATCAATCAGCTTTTCCCCTACTCCTTCCTAGTTTAACTTCATTCAGATACAGTCACACTGAAGGATATGAGCCTGATTCACTGCATGTTCAGCTGGCATAGAGACTGCTGTGACATTCCTCCCCAGTGTGCAGCTCTGGGAATGGGAAGGAGTAGCTTTGCTCTAAATGAGTTTCCACATTTGTGACAACTCCCCACCACCACCCAGACTTCTGCCTGTGTTGTTGTTAACATTACCACATTCCTGACAAAAGTGAAACCAGTTCCAATGGATCTAAACCAACATGTCTCAATGCATGCAGTTATTTCTTTCAGTCTTGCTTCTCCACCAATTTATCTTTCATAGGCTCAGCACAGTGACATTAGTTATCTTGATCTCTTCCTCCCCAAATGATTTTTTCTGGGTTAGGTAGGTTACTCTGCAGGTTTGAGATTTGGCAGGATAACAACTTGAAGAAGCATCTTCAAAGGATCAAATAGGTTCAGAGCAATTTTGCTTACATCAAAAGCATGTCAGGAGGTGTTGAGAAAGCCAGTCAGTCCTTGTGTGTAGGCAGGAGGAGCACACATGGGCTGACATAGTGTAACGTGAGGCAGGAGGCAAGGGAGGATATACTGCAGCTCTTTGTACATCAAGCTGAGTAGGATTAAGTGGATTAATTGACAGAACATCACCACTTCAAGGTTTTGACCACTTTTAAGATATTCAACAGTTAACAATAGGCAAGAATCCTACATCTCCAACCACAGTCGTGTTTTTTTCCCTTTGTCACTCTACAGTTTTCTAATTGTGTGAAGGGATTTACTAAGTTCTCTGTCAGCATCCAAGATTTCATTCGTAGCACTACTGAAATTTGTGTGGCAAGTGCCAGAAGATAATCGATTCAGCATTTTGACTGAAAGGAGGCAATCTGTCATGTGCAAGCCATCATCTATAGTGGGGATATTTGTATTCCCTGCACTTGGTTTGCCAAAGCTGTAAAAATATATTTGTAAAACACAGCACATGGGTTCCTCATCTCATCTGTAACACAGGCTGTGGGCCAGCCTCGCAGAGCCTGGACAGGGCCTTTGCACTCATGGCAAGAGCTGATGTTGCCTGAGTGTGATGCATTTCATGCTGCTTCCCAACAGCTTGGGCTGGGAGCTGGCTGGAGCCCCCAGGAAAGCCTTGGAGGTTCCCAGCAATGGATAGAGGGTGAGAGGAAGGTGGGAAGGGGAAGTCAGCTGGAGTTAGCTGCACAAGTAAGCACACAGTGTGCTGCTGCCCTGAAAGCTTTCTTTTCCCCTCGAGGTGACAGCTGCACATACCACTGGGGGAAACTGTGCTGAAGTAACCACAAGGAGAAGGAAAAAATCTGTCTGGGGTGAGGGGGGACAAACCCATATGGCATTGCAGCCTCTCTGCTTAAGGAGCAGTGGCAAACAAGATTAGAGCATGTGTCGGCATAAAATGCCCCATGCTGGAGGGAAAGGATGGTTTTCCAAAATAGCAGAAACTGGGGTGAGGATGGGGTTAAACACACGTTCTTGCACAAAGACTGCACACGGGCTACAGACCAAGCACTGTTTAGGCACAACCCAACTTCTAAAACAGTAAAAAGCAGCTTTACTATTTGTACCTTTTGGGGGAACGTGCTCATGTGTAAACTGATACAAGTTTATCCCCTCTCCCACAGAGATTACAGCAAGAAATTTCCTCTCTTTTGCTCATGAGAATTTTTACTGATGGGTTTCAGGAGTCAGGCATTTGGAGGGATTCCTTCCTTAGTGTTTCTGCTTCCCTTGCTTTTTGTTTTTTTTCATACACCCTTGTGGAGCACTTCCTTATTAACATGAACTTTTTCCCAGCCTTCACTTGACCTATCTCTGAAAATCAAACTTCACACACCTGCATAAAACGCCCCATGCTGGAGGGAAAGGATGGTTTTCCAAAATAGCAGAAACTGGGGTGAGGATGGGGTTAAACACACGTTCTTGCACAAAGACTGCACACGGGCTACAGACCAAGCACTGTTTAGGCACAACCCAACTTCTAAAACAGTAAAAAGCAGCTTTACTATTTGTACCTTTTGGGGGAACGTGCTCATGTGTAAACTGATACAAGTTTATCCCCTCTCCCACAGAGATTACAGCAAGAAATTTCCTCTCTTTTGCTCATGAGAATTTTTACTGATGGGTTTCAGGAGTCAGGCATTTGGAGGGATTCCTTCCTTAGTGTTTCTGCTTCCCTTGCTTTTTGTTTTTTTTCATACACCCTTGTGGAGCACTTCCTTATTAACATGAACTTTTTCCCAGCCTTCACTTGACCTATCTCTGAAAATCAAACTTCACACACCTGAAGAGCACTTAGTTAGGAGTTGAGTAGCTCTTGATCCAGAACTACAGCTGCTCCAACTGTAGAGTACAGGACTAGCCTTAGAAGAGCCACACTTAGTTGTGTCATCATCTGTAGCTGCCCAAAGTGCCTCAGGAGGACTTCCTTCCTCGTGTGATCCATTGCTATAAGAGGATGTTCTGATCAGAGTGCTTGTGCAGTAGAGGCCAGGCTGTCCACTGAAGGAGGCAAAAGCTTCTTATCCAGGCATTGTGGAAGTGTGAGGCCACCAACACCACCTGGATTGCAGAAGGAGGCTCAGGGCACTCTTTGGCATCCTCATGGAAGCCATATCACAGTGGCAATTTAATCTACTGGAGAGGTGGAGGTTTTACCTTGTGGTGATTTCTATTTCTTCCAGCACCACAGAGAACAGAGTTGAGACCTTGATTCTGCTCTGTGGTAGTGGTATAGACATCTAGAGTGATAAGGAACAAAGTGGCATGGGTGGCCTTCATTTAAGAAAACCAAACCAACAAACCACAAAACAGTTTTTCAATAAATATTGCCTTCTCCAACCATAGCTTTACATTCATTACCCAATGAGGGCTAATTTGACCCCAGACCTGCTTGCTTTCCTGATTTTGTATGGAAGCTGAAAGCCACATTAGTGGCCTTATTTCCACTGCTTGTACTTTGTGTGAATGATCACGTAAATCTTCCCTCTCCTCCTACATTTAATTAGCTGTAATTTTGATTTATGCTATTATTTGCATAAAATGTACAACAGATCAGGTCCTCCTAGGGATAAGCAATCTGTAAACATAAACAAAGAGGCTTTTGTCAGCTGTTAATGGAAACATTGATTAATCTCCCATTGCTTTGGTAGCCTGACAAAAAGTTCATAAAGCAGCAAACTAAATTGTTCATTAAAATGGCCAGGCTATAAGTGCCAGGATGTGGATGCCAAATATATGTTAAGTGCGTTTCAGCTGCATGGTGCCTCCAGGAGGAGATACAAACTCTTGTCATCATACTGTTGGAGACCTTCTTAACATCTTCCCTTTCCTTTCCCTTGCAGATGATGCCAGCTCAGGAAAGGATAGCCAGGCACCTGAAGGCTCCAATGGAGAATATGAAGATCATTCTGGGAAGCAATGGGGTAAGGCCCAGGGCTTCTTTTTGTTTTCCTTAGTTCTTGGTTTAGTGCTGTTCATGTGTCATGTTTCTTGGTTGCAGAAGGAAAGTAAAGGCAGTGAGGAGTGAGTTCTCCCTACAGATGGTCGAATAATAAACAAAGCATCAGCTGAACGTGTCAGTGTGAATGGAGCCCATCCAAGAGTCCTTCTGCAAAATGCAGCCCATGGGCTGCTCTAGGGACCCCTGCCATGTACCCCAGCATGGTTCCCCCTTGCATTTGTTTTTCTGGGCAGTGACTTTATTCTGCATGTGCAGCTATTACAGCTTTCATAGACTCTCTGTAAAAGGCATATTGACTTTTACAGCAGTATTTCCAAAAGCCTTCAGTGCCAACATAACACGGCTCCCGCTGAGGGCAAATGGGAGGTCTGACTTCACTCTAGGAGAATTAGCATTAGGCCAAAGCTGAGTGTTTTTTAACATTACCCTCTCTTTTAGACACCTGCATGAACTTCTCTAAGCCCCAGACTGTTCAAACACAGGATTTTAATGCAGTTGCAGAGCTTTGGGGAACTGCTAAAATTTCAGTTGGAACAGGTTCTGAATCGCTACAGGACTTGCTGGTCCAAAGTTTGGTCCAAGCACTCCTTGAAGTACAATAAGTTGTCAGGTTGATGCCAAACAGCTTTTGGCCATTACTGACAGGAGTGCAGTGAGAATTTATGACCTCAAGGGATGAAGCACAGCATTTCCATTTTGTGCTTGCAGTACACCCTTCCTTTTAATTATAATGTATAATACAGAGGTGACTTTGTACCACATTTGTGGCCAGGGAGTAACTTCATGGCAACGGTAGGGGTGGGAACCTTTCAGGCTTTCACCTTATGAGTCCCCACCACTTGAGCTGAGGCCAGTTTTCTTCAGGAGCTGGCAAACAAGTGATGTGGTGTGCTGTGGTGTAGTCTGGGCCACACCTGGAGGAGTCAGTGCCATAATAGCTTTGAATTACACATTCATCTGAGACTGAACTTGCTCTGACAGAGGAAGCAACCTGCTCTAGTTGAAACTGTCCTTGTTCACTGCAGCGGCATTGGACTAAATGACCTTTAAAGGGCTCTTCCTGTCCAAACTATTGTATAGTTCTGTGATTCTACGGCTCCAACATTTTGGAGCTAGATAAACTCCAGGTTAGAAGTCCTTCAGGAGGGATTCAAACTGGCAAGAAAAGCTGCCATCTCTCCAGTCTTAATTACCCTGGTAGAGATAGAAGCAGACACTGAATGCCATGGAAGATGTGCTCATGGTAGAGTTGGTGGATGATGGATCAATTCAGCAGTCATATTATGAAAAAAATTATGTAAGCACTACTAAAATTACTAGGCATTAACAATCTTATATCAGACTGCCTTATTCTGTGCTGCCCTGGCTCAATCCTTCTTTGTGCTGCACACTATTCCTGCACGTCTGCTTTTTCCCCTTTCCCTCCCTCCTACTATCTCTCCCCAAACAATGAAATGGCTGGGGCAGGACACACACCCACCCGAACACTTTCCATCCATCAGGGTTCACCAGCAAAGTGCTGGTGTGAGCTGGTGTGCAGGGAGGGTTAGTGTGTGTCTGCAGGTCTCTGGGTGATAGGTGAAGAAGTTTGTGTTTGCAGAGCTCTGGGCCCTAGAGAAGTGGAAGAGGAGAAGCATGGTAAAAACCCTCCACTTCCCTTTCCAGCTACCATGATGGAGTGGTATTGCTGGGGAGAAGTCCTGTCCTCATCAAGAGTGGGGAGCTGATGTGGGGAAAGATAAAATACCCCCATCCACTTCTTCCCACAACTGACTGAGCTCTTATCTAAAAAAAAACCTGAGAGTATTTCAATACTTAGATATATCATGACACTTTTTTGTATAAATACCATGAAAGATTTAAGTGGTACTTCCCGTCACTACGTGGAGGTAATTGTGGCAGATTGCAGCAGATGATGCCTTATCTAACCACCTCACTTTGTATGAGCCACGACTGACAGGATCCTCTGTGACTAATCCCTGTACCTTGAGGTGTCCCAAAGGGAGAAGAGACTGCTGAATTCCTTCCCAGGTCTTTCTGCCAACAGCCTACTGTTTCATTTAATTTCCATTAGCTTGAATAAATCGTCATGGTTAACAGCATTTCAGCAAGGAAGCCCTACACAACAGTGTCTCTTTTTACCCATCCACTTGTGTTTTCTCTTGCTCTTGTGTGTGGCATAATTTATGCTGTACAAATGTGCTGTTCATGTTTATGAAGCAAACGCCAAGTGATGTGGAGGAGAACGAGCATGTGAAGTATAAATAACACAGAGGCACTTTGTAATGGCCTTCTTTGGCACTCTAACAAGCAAAAGCTTCTGTAAATGGTACAGATTTGGGGACAGACATTTACTAGCACCAACTCAATAGAGACTTTTTCTGCCTCTCTCTCACACTGCTGCTTCTCCCTCTTTCTCCTTTGTGCTTGCTGGTCTCTTTTTCTCTCTTATGTGTGGGTCTCTCTTTCAACTTTTTTGTTAACTGGCTTTTCTAAACTTTTCCAATTCAGGCTTTTGTCAAGGAAACACTCAAGACTGTGTAAAGGGGGTCTGGTTTCAGCATATTGCATACAGCCTGGAGTAGCTTTTGAGACCACATAATCACTTAACCTTCTTTAAACAGAAGAAAGAGAGACAGAAAGAGCCAAAGAAGTTTAGCTTTACCTGTAGTTTCATATGTGTCTGGACAACGGTGTACGGGGAGGGAATGCAAAACTCCAGACAGATTAATGGGAGTTGCAGTGGGAGGAAAACCAGAAATGTTACAGGCCTGCTTTTTTGGGAGGGAAGAGTTTCTGTCTTGCAATGTCCTTACTGAGCAGGGACTCCACCAAGTCCTTCTGAACTACTGCTTTGGAAACAGGGAGGAGGTAAGGGAAGGTGAAAGTTTAGACTCACTCATGACTCTTCACTCTGCATGGGGTGTGACTGTCCCATCTGCAACCTGCTCTTTGACATGTTATTCCAGCCCAGGAATCCCATCTGGTGAGGATCTACCCCTACCCAGACCTGCAACTCCTGGTTTTAGAGTAGATTACTTGCATGTTAGAGAATAACCACTTTGACTCACTTCACAGCTGGTTCTTAACCTCTCCATGCACCTTGTGGACACTCACTCAATTTCCACAATGACAGCCCTTATCAGCATGTCTTCCTCAGCTCAGACTTCAACTTCAGCGTGTCATTGCTCACAATGTGCAGCTCTGATGGGGTTAATTGTCTCTCTGGGGAGGGTGATTGATTTTGCTTGGAGGGGGCCTCCTCTTGCAGCAGACCCCCAAGGGAATACCCAGCAATTTAGGCACCACAACCTGTGCAGTGGCTTAGTATGTCACACTTGCTGCTCAGCTGTCACGGCAAGGACGTTCAGTGCCAAAGTTGCTCTGGTTCATTAGATTACACATGAAAGCCTCCGTACAGAGAGTAAAGCATTTCTGAGCAAGAGTTTGAAATAACATGGAATGGCTGGGACCCAAAATGACAGTCAAGGGGGCGAGGGAAGGCTATGGAGGCAGATGGTTTTCCCTATGGAAAACTGTTCTGAAGAGGGGGATATGTCAAAGGGTGCCTTCTGTGAAGGAGGGATGTTGGAAAAGGCTGCAGGAGGGTGAGGACTAAGGGATATGTTCACAGACCTCAGAGGGCAATAGCTGCAGTTCCTCAGTGCTTGGAGAGAGGAATCTGCAGACCAGCCTCCTCATCCAGCAAAGCTCTGCTATAACGTACATCTCAGAGTTTCTGGCCCTCAGCCCTGGGCAGCAGGGCTGGCTCTGTACTAGGGTGGCCTTCTTAGAGCCAAGACATAGGAAATCCCCTTGTGCCTCCCTGTAGCAAACTTCCTGATATCTGAAGCACAACCTTCTGAGATTGCTTTGGTGTGTTATGTGCTACTGAGGCTGTGACTATCCAGTTGTTAGTGGCAAAGGCCAGTGGCTAATGAGCATAATTCAACACAGTGTGCCACAGAGGAGGCCACTCATTACCTATTTCTCTTATTTCCCAAGAAAAGGATCAGGGAGAATTTACCAAGGAGTGTGAAAATGCAGGATAATGGTCCTTTATGGCCAAAGAATAAGATTATGGTAAGCAAGAAACAGGGTTTGAAAGCAGGGAGAGAAACCTGTTCTGGAGATGCTGAATGGACTCAGAGAAAAAACTGGCTTTGCCAAAATTATGAAAGAAGACAGGTGAGTTTGACAGGAGTATTGTAGCTCTAGGAGGAGAATTGTATTGATCTCAGGAGGAGATTGCAGTTAGACATGCCTCTGGACTGGCATTGCATTAAAGTAACTGAGAAATCTATGATATGAAATTCTTCATTAGGGGACACTGTAAGACAAGCTTTAGTCTTACCGACAGATCATGTTGCATTGTTTCAGCTGTCTTAAAAGTTTTTGCAAAGATCTTTTTCTTTCTATTGATTAGTTAGACCAACTCACGACTTTACCCAAAGATTCTCTGCAATGTCAGTAAAGCTATTAGAGTGTAAAGGTGCCATGTCTTTTCCATCCAGAATTCTTGCATAATCTGAATTAAAGTTAGGTGAAGGTGAGGGTATAAGTTTCAGATTTTGCCAAGTGGGGACCTTGCATGTTTCTATTGTTCTTGTCACTACCATTAGAAATGTTGGTGATTTTCTTGCTAGAACAGGGTGCCTGTCTTAACCCATGATTCTGTTCACCAGCAGCTGTTGCTTCAGCTTCTCCCATTTTTGGGATGGACTGGTATGGGGTATCTTCCAATAACAAACTCAAGGGTTTTTCATTGGGTCTTTTCATTTGTTTGTTTGCTTCTTTGGACCTTTCAACATGAATGCTTCATTTTAGTTCAGATCAATGTGCAGAGTCTGGCACACTTCTCAGGCTTTGCTACATGTTGAAAAGATGTTGACTTTTCTTAAGTCCCATTAAAGGCAGTGAGAACTAAGGAGCCAAACAACTTCAGAACATAAAGCTTCAAGCGACCAGCAAAAGATTGAGAAAATGGTCAGGCTGGCAGGAACCTGAGGTTTTCTCACAGGTCTTGGCTAAGGGCTTGCATCTGTGGCATGGAATATGGTAACAATTGTAATGTGATTATGGGGCTGCATTTTGCCTTCAGCTACAATAGGATGACATTGGTATTATTTTGTGAGATGGTCTGATGCAGTTGCCTTATGGACACCAAAATTCCAGCACTATGCAATGCTAATGGCTAATGCAGTGACCATACCAGGCCAGTAGACATTCAGATGCATCAGGCAGGGTAGTGCCTCCCTTCTAAGGAAAGCAGTTTGAGCTGATATGTACTTGTTTACTCTGAGGGTAACAGAGCACTGGAACAAGCTGCCCAGGGAGGCTGTGGAGGCTCCATCCCTGGTAACATTCAAAACCTGCCTGGATGTGTTCCTGTGTAAGGAACAAGGGGATCCTCAAGGGGATCCTACTCTAGCAGGGGGGTGGGACTAGATGATCTCCAGAGGTCCCTTCCAACCCCAACCATTCTGTGATTCTGTGAGACAGTGATACACTGGTTATATATGAGACTGCTGGGTGCCTCTCAAACAAATGTGGCCATAACACTTGCCAGCTGTCTCTTCCTTTGCTCACCACAGTCAATTTTTCCTGCCTTTTGCAGCCCGGCCCCGGTTCACGCAGCCTGCCAAGATGAGACGGAGAGTGATCGCCCGTCCTGTTGGCAGCTCCATCCGCCTCAAGTGCGTGGCCAGTGGGAACCCACGGCCTGACATCACGTGGCTGAAGGACAATAAGCCCCTCACACCCCAAGAGATTGGGGAGAACAAGAAGAAGAAGTGGACGCTGAACCTGAGGAACCTGAAGCCAGAGGATAGTGGGAAATACACCTGCCGAGTGTTTAACAAAGTTGGAGAAATCAACGCAACGTACAAAGTTGAAGTAATCCGTAAGTGCAGCTTCTGGGGTGGAAAGGCATTGAGGGAGCTTTGAGAAGGGAGCTGGCTGAGTAATCAGGATTCTATGGCAAGTGTGCAGTGCTGATATCTAGGCAGAGAAGTGGGGAAGTATTATAAACATCAGAGACTGAGCAAACATTGTTGAAACTCTAAAATAAACTTAATGCCTGGGTAAGACAGGCAATAATACAATTTAGTAGCTGAGATCATAGAATCATAGAATGGTTTGGGTTGGAAGAGACCTCAAGATTGTCTGGTTCCAACCCATCTGCCATTAGAGGGGACACCATCCACTAAATCAGGTTGTTCATAGCCCCATCCAACCTGGCCTTGAACACTTTCAGGGAGGGGGCATCCACAGAAGTGTTTGTGGCTGTTTTGGATGAAGTGTTGAGCAACCTGGTCTAGTGGCAAGGGTCCAGGCCTATGGCAGGTGGGTTGAAACTAGATGATCTTTAAGGTCCCTTCCAACCCAAAGTGAGGAGAGATACTAGGGAAACAGTCATCTCTAAGGGCACCTGTGTGATGAAGGTTCATCATTGCCCAGTTCAATTCAAGGACAAACTGAGAAAGCCCTTTCATGTACCGTAAAGGATGGGTAGAAATATTTAGGGTGGCCCAGATTACTCTATCAGAGTGGTAATAGAGTAAAACCAATAAATAAAAATTTACTCTAGGTAGCTGTAATAGGAGGCCCACTTCATTAGAGAAATCTCCCAAAGGAGTTAGCAGAAATCTTATGTCTAGAGTGATTATCCAAACAAGGCTTTAGTTCTAGATTTTAAAAAACATTTGGACATCTGAAGGTTCAAGTGGGTACACTTCAGATACTAAAAAAAATATCCCACTAGGGTCTTGTTTGTATCTTTAGATACCTACATAGCTTTAAAGATTCAGCCCTTAGAAGATGAGCTGTGGGGATTACCCTGCATTGTGGTGGGGTAGAATAAATTGCTCTTCTTACTATCCAGCTATTCTGATTCTTAGTCTCTAATCTCCTGTTTCCCCTATTATTACTGAAGATAATTGCACTCAAATCCTACCTAAGTCAACCAGAGAAGAGCTCTTATTCTTAAATCATTGTGCTTTTTCTATGACATCATCAGAAGCTGGCATGGAAATGATTACAGAGCAGCCAACTCAGGAAAGTGGGGGAGATGAGCTGAGTGGAGGGAAGATTGAATAGCCTTCATTAATGAGGAGCAGGGGCATGGAGGGCTGTTCCCAGCTAGAAGGAAAGCATGTTGTTTGTCTGTCTGTGCATACATTTTAGCATGAGAAAGTTTATCCCAGTGTGAAAGATTGTTCTTAAAGGTAAAGATCTGTTCTCTGATAAGTCCTTTCTCTAGAATCGCAGGAATTAAAAGCACATGTGGGGAGCTCTGTTGGGCTCCAAAGGCACAAACCTGCTGGACATCTGGGATTGATAAAGATGCAGCTGTGTGGAGACAGTAAAAACATATGTTTACACTAAAACCAGGAGCAGAGACAGGGAAATGAATCAAGCCCCATCCTAATGGCAGCTGTGGCATTTTCACTTCATCAAAACCAGACAGCACCAGGAACAAACCCCTTTCTGTGTCCCTGTTTATCTTGTTTTTTATCAACTTAAAGATGTATGTAACCTTTGTTTTCATTAGCTTTTTCTTGCTAAGAGTGAAAACAGTAACCAAAGCTGGAACCAGACTCAAGGAGATAAGGGCATTAAGCAGTTTTCAGACATCTTTCTATTTTTGACATAATTCTGTGGAGCATTTCAGGTTTTATTCAATTTCCTCCTTTTTTTCCCCCCTGAGCCTCCACTCCAAAGTCCTGCTTATCTGAGGCTCACTCTTCCCAGCTGTGATTCCTGCCCACAGTCCCAAGGCAGAACCTAGACAGACCACTGTGTTATTTTTTTTTCCTAGGCACATCTTTAGAGCCTTCATTATTGAAAGTATCCTGAGTTTTTGAAAGACAGTCCATTGTTCCTTCCTCTCACCCCAAAGCCAGTGCTGGTGGGAGCTGTTTTGTTATTTGCTCCATTTCACAGTGTTTGCCATCAAATGCAATTGATGATTGCCAGCAGTTACCACCCACTGTGATACCTTAATTTATCTTCATGCCTAGGGTAGAGGTTTGCAGTACCTCCTTGTTTGGAAACTGTGACTGAGTTCTCTGATGCTCACACTAAAAGAAAAGCCAAACATTCCTCAGAATGAGGGATATATTTTTCCTTTGACTTTATGTGATGTTGACACAACATAAGGCTTACGATCCTACTGGAACGGATGGTCTTGTGAACCTCTTGAGTTTGATTTTCTTTCCTACCACCTTGTTTCTTTCATCAACTGAGACTTGAGGCAAAAAAATTGTGAGAAAGGAAAGATTTTGGTTTTGGCTGGAAAATCAAAAGCCTTATGAGCTCTTCCTCCACAAAAAAATTTGCTCCACAGTGAGTGTGGGGATGATTAGACTGAAGAAAGAAATAATAAAAGCAGGGAGGTGATGATGAAGTGAAGATCTTCCTCACCAGTAGTGCCTGTTGTCTGATTTCCCCAGCAGTGAATGACATGGTATGGGATGGCTTCCAGAAGAGTTGGGTCCCCATGGGCAGCTGCCAGCCCCAGAAACAGATGACAGATGCTTCCTAAAGAATTTGAGACAAAAGATGAGACAATATCCACAGCTTGTCATTAGGATATCAAAGGGACCTTTTCCCAGCCAGTTTTGTCTGTCCTTAGGGAACATTTGGATACCAGAAGGACAAAGAACATGTCTTATCAACTCCTTACTGTCCCCAAATTGAGAGTAGCCATAGTGGTTCTGGTGTGGATTGTCAATTGATACGTACTAGTAGATAAACTGGTAAAAACCTGAGGTTGTATCTGAGAATATGTAAGGTTCTTTCATATTCACCTGTAAATTGCACCCTATCAGACATGGCGGTAAAAGACAAAGTATCACAGAACCACAGAGTGTTTGAGGTTAGAAAGGACCTCTGGAAGTCATCTAGTCCAAGCCCACCCTGCTCAAGCAGGGTCACGTAGATCTGGTTGCCCAGGACCATGCCCAGATGGCGTTTGAATATCACTAGAGGTGGAGATGCCACAACCTCCCTGGGCAACCTGTGCCAGTGCTCAGTCATCTTCACAGTAAAAAAGTGTTTCCTGATGTTTAGAAGGACCTTCTTCTGTTTCAGTTTGCATCCATTGTTTCTGGTCCTGTAACTGGCCACCACTGAAAAAAGCTTGGCCTCAACTTCTTTACACCTTCCCTTAGTATATTTGAAAACATTGAAAAACATGATCAGAGTCAATATCAAATGAAGATTTACAGTTAAATAATCCACTTAATTTGTGTTCAGACCTGTACTAATGCCCAGATTTAATCTTCAGATGGGTTTTGGCCTTTTTGGATAGTATCAGGCCATTTATCTTCCTCTGGTCAAGGCTCAAGAAAAATCACTGCAGCCTCTGACCCTGTAGGTCAGGGTACATCATTAAGATCCCATTATTCTGGGATATGGTCCCTGAGACACGGGGGTAAGTGGGAGTACAAGGAAGAGGGTTCTTTAGTATACAGAAGAGAGGGTTGAAGATTATCTTCCAAAATATAAGGGCTAAAAGGGAAGCAAACTTTTTCTCCAAGTCTGATGCAGATAGAATAAGTAACTTCCTTGTTAGAAACAGGAAGATTCAGGCTGAGCATGACAAAATACTTGCTAAGCCTCAGTGGAGGAATTGTCTGGAGAGGCTGGAGAGCATCTATCATTAGAGACTTTGGCAGAGGCTGGGCAAATTTGTATCAGTAGAGGTTTGCAGAAATCTCAGCCTACCATGGGGCAGGGAAGTGGACTAGACAAAGTGTTTTGCATCCCTTCTATGCCTTTTTCCTATGTTACTGGAATCATAAGTTAATGAAATTGGCAAACACCTTTTATTCCATGGAGCTCCCTGTGTTTTTGTGCAGAGAGGACGAGGTCCAAGCCCATCCTGACAGGGACACACCCTGTCAACACGACAGTAGACTACGGTGGGACCACATCCTTCCAGTGCAAAGTCCGCAGCGACGTCAAACCTGTTATCCAGTGGCTGAAAAGGGTGGAGTACGGCACGGAGAGCAAGTACAACTCAACCATTGATGTTGGGGGACAGAAGTTTGTTGTGCTGCCCACGGGAGAGGTCTGGTCTCGTCCCGATGGTTCCTACCTGAACAAACTGATGATTACTCGAGCCAAGGAAGAGGATGCAGGGATGTACATTTGCTTAGGAGCAAACACCATGGGCTACAGCTTTCGCAGCGCTTTCCTCACCGTCCTGCCAGGTGAGTTATGTCTCTTTTTGTTCCCATCTGAACCAATAGCATCATGGATCAAGCACTGGCTGGACAGTCGGACCCACAGAGTGGTGGCCAATGGAGTCAAATCCAGCTGGGGCCACTCACAAGTGGTGTTCCTCAGGGCTCAGTGTTGGGACCTTTTCTGTTTAACATCTTTGTTGATGATCTTGGTAAGGACATAGAGTGTTTTATCAGTGAGTTTGCAGATGACACCAAGCTAGGTGGGAGTGTTCATCTGCATGAGGATAGGGAGGCTCTGCAGAGAGACTTGGATAGATTGCATCGTTAGGCTGATGCATTGAGGTCTGGGCTTCAACAAGGCCAAGTGCCGGGTCCAGCAAGCAAACAAAAGCAAATTATCTGCTCCTGTATGGAAGAGGAGGTGGGAAAGGATACTACAGTTGCAAGCACCACATCACTTCAGTAAGAGGGTGCAGCACATGAGAGGGGAACTGAATAGCAGCACAATTTGCACTTCTCCTTTCTCTTGCTCTTACTTATATTGATTTTACTGCTTAAAGGAAACAATTATATAGGACCACAAAATGAGAGAAGAATAAAAACTGTGCTGCTATCCTCCTGGGGACCCTTGTACCAAACTCACATCTGACTCCTCTCTCCAGGCCCTGGAGCTGGTGACCATGTCCAAATGAGGCTGTATTAAGTGTGTTTGAGGCACACCACTATCACTTTGTCATTGACTTCTTTGCCTCCTAAAAACTGTGCAGTTCTGCTTTTTGTTGAAAAGGGCATTTCTTTCTGCCTCGTCTTGCCATGTGAATCTAGCTTCAGATCCACCAGTTTGATGACAAAAATTTACCTTACTGCTTTTTCTTCCCTTTGCCACTTCAAGCAAAGAAAGTGCAGGAGCTGGAGCCAGTGTCAGAACATTTTAGCTGTCAGGTCTAATCAGGTGTCTCCAGTCAAGACACCAGTGAGACACAGAGATCATTAACTCTCCCAGGCTGTTAGGACTGGTTTTCTGTGCAGTTAGTGGGGAAAATGCTCATGACTCCAGTGGGCTTTTGCCCACTGATTGCCAGAGCTCCATGTCTCAGCAGCTATACAGAGTCACTAGCTTGAATTTAGATATTGACAGCAGGTGGCCAAGCAAGTGAATGCTCTTGGTGTCTTCTTCTCCATCACTTAGATTTAGGACTAAACTCCAATTAGATAGCCTATCAATCCCAAGGAAAAGGCTGCATGAGCGGGATATAACTCAAAGCCCTTGAGACTTTCTGAACTATGAGAGTCTGATCCAGCTCCCACTGAAATCTGTGGGAGACTTTCCATTGATTTAAATGGGACTGTAATTAAGTCTCATACCAGAACCAGAGCTTGCAAGCCTGTTGTTATTGGCAGTGGTGGAGAAGGAGAACCCCGCTTGCCCACAGATGAGAAGATGTGGTTTCAAGGCCATGAGTTAGAAAAAAACCATTTTGCTAGTAAATCTACCAGATTTGACATAGACAGCTCTGAAGAACAGCATGGATGAATAGCAAAACACTTTTGTTTCAGCTCAGCAGAGGATTTTTGCCAACCAACATGAAGACTTACTTTTTGTGGTCAGCTGATGGGTCAGAGGTCTGATCCTGTCTTGCTTTGAACAGGGGCTGGACCATATGACCTTCAGATCCCCTTTCCAGACTAATTTATTCCGTAATTTCCCATGTTGGTGAATCAAAGTTTTGTCTGTTGAGGTCAACGATATAGGTCCTTCTGACTTCAAAGTGACCACATGGTATATATTTAATATTTCAAAGTATCCGTATGATTATTTATCAAGGAGAGAAAAAGACATTAGTGTCTTAAAGAAGTTTGGCTTGACAGTTAAGTGATACATGTTTGAATATAATATATTGGGTGATTTGGACAGCCTGTGGTTTTCAAAGTTTCTCGAGTGTCTCCCTGCAAGTTGAATTCTGTCCCTAAGTATTTTACAAGGGTTTGGAAATCCCAGCTGGTAGCTATCTAGATGGGGACTTTGATAGCTAGGATCCTGCCCTGGGACTCCTTTTAGGTCTATAAATCGGAAGATTAGGCTGAGAAAGTGCAGTGGCTATCCAAAGATGTACAGACTGCCAACAGTAGGGAGAGGAAGGGGGTGGGAGGTGTGAAAGATGCATCTTATCTCCTCCAGTACCCGAATTTGCTGCCCTTGGAAAGCCAACAGCAGGTCCAAAAAGACTGGTGGAGGTAGACCCTGTTTGGCACATGGAGTTGGACACACACTTTAATGCTGTGTGAACTTTCCGTCCTCCATGGCTTGGGCACCAAGGAGGGGACACCAGCTCACCTATGGATTTGATGTCCCTCAGCCTTCCTCCAAGTCACACAAGAAACTCAAGCCAGAACCTCCAAAACACCACATTTGTGCTGCCTGCCACAGCAGAGCGTAGCTCCGGTATCACTGGATGGGTATACTAAAAAGTGTCTGAAGCCCACACAGACAGAGCTACCCATGGCAGATGCAAGTGTGCAATCTGCTGTTGCTCTGAGTAATCTGACTGTGCCTCCTGGGCTGCTGACGTGGAGGTATTACTGACATGTCCCATGATGTGTCCTCCAAACTGGGCAGCGAAGCCCACTCCATCAAGAGGGAGGGTGCTAGGAAATTCTGTGGGCTGGCTCTAGTGCATCCGTTAAAGCTTGGATAAGAAAGTTAAAACATTCCCCAAAGACTCACCTCCCAACCCCTATACCATAGAAAATGAGTTGCTTGTCCTTCCAGGAGCCCTGAAAAGCAAAACTGTTACCAAACATCATCTGCTGGCTTGATTTCTCCCTCGTTACATGGCCTGGCAGGGTTGCCAGACAGCTTGTGCAAAAGCCAGCCCAAGTGTGACATCTGTTTTAAATTCACTTTGCCTGCATTTAATTAACTCTTTCTGTCTCTCTTTGCCATGATGTGCAGATCCCAAGCCTCCCAGTGCACCTGTGCCCCCTTCCTCAGCCAGCAGCCTTCCCTGGCCCGTGATCATCGGCATCCCTGCCGGAGCTGTCTTCATCTTTGGGACAATCCTCCTGTGGCTTTGCCAGACCAAGAAGAAGCCCTGTTCCCCACCAGCTGCTGCCCCTGTGCACCGGCCACAGCCCCGGGACAGGATCTGTGTCTCCCAGGTCCCTGACAAAGACTGCATCTCCTCCATAAACTATGAGGAATATGTTGCCCAGCAGCAGCATTTACTGTCCCAAGGGCCTGCACTTGCTCCAGCCATGGCATCCAAAATGTACCCAAAGATTTACACGGACATCCACACCCACACCCACTCGCACGTGGAAGGCAAAGTCCACCAGCACCAGCACATCCAGTACCAGTGCTAAGAGGGTGGCTGTGTACAGTAGCTCGTTTGGGCTTTTCCTCCTGGTACCTCAGAAGAGACTGCTCCAAGTCAGCTCACACTGCCAGCAACAGGCAAAACAGACAGAAAAGATTATATATATATATAATTTTAAATATATATATACATATATATATAATTGTATATTTGTGTGTGTATGTGTGTATATATATATGTGTATATATCTATATCTATCTATATAAATATATATATAATAGAGAAAGACAGAGAGAGAAAAGAGATTTTTTTTTTTAATTATTACAATCAGGATGTAGCCAAGGAATAATGAAGGAACTCAAGGAACTCCAAATCTCAGCAGAGAGGCAGCCATTCCCAGCAGCAGAGCCTTCCCAGGTTTTTTTCGTTGAAGTGGCAACATGTGAGACAGGACACAGGGACATGAACCACCACCTTCTTCCTTGTGTTGTAAGGAACAAAAAGAGCAAGAGGCAACTGTGGTGCCTTTCCAGATGGGCATCACTGTCCCTGTGCCTGCTGCACATCACTTGTTTCAGTGGGGAGCTCCCAAGCCTGTCCCACTGGGGAGCATTCAGAAGAGCCTGTTCCCTCCGAGTCACCCAAGCTCTAAAGTACCTGAGGTTTAGTGCCAAAGCACTAGGAGACATAACCACCTCACCTCTTCCAGGAGAAAACAAAATAACACAAAAGTCTGGCAAAATGAATTTCTCTTCACAATGTGAAATGCTGAATGCTTCTCAATCACAGTCCTTTGGTCTGAAATGCTAACTGAGCTGGTTTGTTCCATTTCTGCAAGTTGAAGGCATCTCCCATGGGGTGTTCTGCAGATCCAACCACAACTGCTCTGCTCCCTGGTCCTAGGACTCAGTGCCACTGCCAGGAAAAAGGAAAGAAGGAAAGAGGAACATTGTACAGAACATCTTTATATTTATATTTAAGAAATAATAATAATTAATAATAATAATTGAACTGCTGATGGTGAAGAAGCAAAATATGCTGTCCTCTGATAGCTCACAGTGACAAGCTACTGGATTTTCTACATCAATGCAAAATACATGAAAACATTAGAAAAAAAAAAAAGAGTAAGAAGCAAAGAGAATGAAATAATAATCTTGTAGGAAAAAATGCATTTGAGAAATATTCACTTAGGTTGTGTGTGGTTGTCCCCTCCCCTCAGATAACACTTTGGAAATGATACAACTTCTTTGCAGTTCAAACAGTAAGAAGAGAAAATAAATAAGGACCATATTAAATACCAATACAGACTGGAAATGAATTCAATTGCAAATATAAAACCTTTGTAATTCTATATAGAGTTTAAACAGAAGTCATGTATATTTAATTTATTTTGTTAAACAAGAAAAAAATGTATGATATTTTCCTTGAAAACAGGCATTTCTATACATATTTTTGATCAAAGAAAATAAAGATTTTTTTTCAGGTTCTATAGATGCCAAACTCAGAATGTGTAGCATGTGACCAACTGTACATCTTCTAACCTGGAGGTCATCTATCTCTATGTCTGTTCACACTAGCCACGTATCTAATCTGCTCACATCATCTCAGGTACCGCTGGTGCCATCCTATCCATCAGAAACTGGCCAGTTCCACTGTCTGTGTTCTGGCTGGGATGATCTGCAGTGGCCAGATCACAAGATCACGTCTCATGGACCCCTTGTCATCTTCACTGGCAAAGTTCTCTGCTCACAGGGAAATCTGCTTCACTGTGTTTTTTTTTGTTTGTTTTATTTTTTTTTTGGGGGGGGGTTGCATTATTTTGGTTTTCTTTTAAAAAGACAATTCTGTAAATCAAAACACTGTTTGTGAGCCTGTAAAATGAACTTTGGCCTCGGGGTGTTTGGCAGAGGAAAATATGAAACGTAGGTGAAACACTTCATTTGTAAACACAGCTGCAGAAGGAGGCAGTGGAGGGTGGGCTGGGTGCAGGAGAAGCACATGGGAGCTGCTCCTCTCCAGGAGGGCTCACACCTTCCTCCTGCTGCACGCCAAGGAGAGGCACCCAACCCTTCAGCAGCCCAAGTTTTCCTCAGAGAAGGCAGATGCAGCAATGCTGCAACTCTCTCCCGTTCACTTGAGTTTCACTTCAAGTTTGCTGGTAAAAAAAAACCAACACAAAACTGAAAATTTGAAACATGCCAATTTTTTAAGCTTGGAATTGCTTCCTTCACAAAAGAGACCTTCAGCAAACCAGCTGCTCCGTTTAGAAGTGAAACGCTCCATTTAACCTGAAACAAACCAGTGCTTTAGGCTTTGCTTCTCTCTGAAGGTTTCTGAAGGTATTTGCTGTGGGTTGACCCACAGTGATTTTTCTGCTGCCTTGTTTGAATCACCAGCAAACCAAACAGCTCCCTGTTTGCTCAGCCGGAGCGCTGGGTGGTGGGGCCCCGATTCAGCAAAGCACGTGAGCTCCTGCTCTCCTTCACCAACACTTGCTGCACCAAAAGGTCTCTTATTTTTACCCTGAATCAGTGGCTTCATCGCTGCCCACTGTACTGGTGCTGGCTGGAGCCATCTGATAACTCTGGAGAAGGAGAGGAGGAGGGAGTAGAAAAGGGAGACCTTCCTACTCAGGTGAAGTTTAGCAGCTGGCACTGCTGCAATACAGCACCACGTAACACACTCTGCTGCTTTCCCAAATGCTGTAGTAGGAAATCCATGTTATGACCTTTACAGGAAGACCATCCCTCATGATGGGCTTCCTGTAGAGGTTATAATAAAACAACCCATTGCTAATTATTATTTCTTTATTCAGCAGG